GGATGCTATCAATTTGAGGGGCTTTATAAACCTGCAGAGGAGATTTTTAAGAAACCTTATTCATTTAATGTCAGTAAAGATCACTTCTTGTTCAATTCCTGTTCATTTCTATCAATCGAAGGATAATGAACTGCGAACGAAACATAAAATTCTTAGAATTTCCCTTTTATCCACAGTCAAGCGAGAAAAAGTTATTTCTTTATTCTTATGACAACTTTCCTAAAATTATCCCATGCGAGTGCGATTGTCTTCTTAGGAGGAATTTGGTAAGATACACTCCCACAAGCTTGTTTATTTTATTGTTTCGACATTCGAAGAAAGTGGCTGAATGTTTAAGCTCGGGTGCTTAAACATTCCGCCACTTTCTTCGAATGTCGAAACAATAAAATAAACAAGCTTGTGGGAAAATGAGTCGAAAAAAAATTGTTGTTTCGAATTAAAAAGATATTTCAGCAAAATTTTATTTTCTGAAATAATGAGTTTTAAAAGTTGGCAGTTTGGGATAGTTAACGCGCGATATGTTTCGTGCTATTAACGCAAGTGCGGAGATTTAATTTGTCATAGCAAACATTCCAATTTGAATTAAGGCTTGCCATAAAATTTAATTTGCAATATGCTAAATATGCATTTTTCAATTCAAACAACGTGTGGGGATAATTTTTCAAAAATTTTTTCAGGTATGTCTTTTTCTTTTTAAAAACTAACTGATTATTGTAAAAACTATACCAAAAACTATAGAAAAAGAGTCTGAAATTTCAGGGATTAGCCCTGATTCGAGCATTCGTGTTACGTAATTTTTTGTTTATATTAAATTTAAACCTATCTCAAACTTTCTGAAGTACTATCGAAGAGTTGATGGTTTTTCCTTTTCCAAGCATAGTCTTGTTTTTTCAAAAATTGGAGATCATACAACTTAGGAACTGAATCTATTTTGTTACTCCATACATCATTTATTTTTTTCAAAAAACAAAATCAAAGTTTTCTCCCTCAGTAGTGTCTTCCAATTTCTGATCAAAAGCTGCTTGCAGTTTTTTTCTCGTATCCATTAGGCTCGCAGGTGAAAAATATAATAAAATTAGTTTTATTCCAGGGCTGAGGTGCTCGACTCGAAACAATAACCAATGTTGTGGCAAATTGAAAAATGCCAAGTTATGAGTCGAATAGGGTCGATAGATTCGATCATTGTCAAGTTATGGGTCAAAGATGGTCAAAAAATGGGTCGAACAATGTCGAATCGTGGGTCGAAAAGAGTCGAGTCATGGTCGACCGAAACAATAACTAATGTTGTGGCAAATTGAAAAATGCCGAGTTATGAGTCGAATAGGGTCGATAGATTTGATCATTGTCAAGTTATGGGTCAAACATGGTCAAAAAATGGGTCGAACAATGTCGAATCATGAGTCTAAAAGAGTCGAATCATGGTCGAACAGGGTCAAATGATGGGTCAAATGGGCTCGAAGGAGATCATTTAGTGTATCGAACGGAATCGAATCATCTCTCGAACTGTTCAAATAAGGAGTCGGATAGGGTTGAATCATGGGTGAATTTATAAATAGGTTATATCTTTGTTGGATTTTCACTGCTCCCAATACTGTAAAACGGTTAAATGACGGTTTAACCAAATCCAAGTTGCCCTTTACCTATTTACCTTGTTCCACTTCAACCTATGTTCCAACTCAACCTATTCCAGATTACGATAAGCCCATTGTAACAAAAACTTACCCTATTTCTTTGAAGAATTCAGAAGAACAAGTTCGAATAGATATCAAAGAACCATAACTTTTGATTACGAAATAGTTGCCGCATGTAAAAAAATTTCAAAGCAATCGAGAACAACTCGTTCAAATTTAAAATGGGATCAGAGTTATAACGAGTAAAAATTGTATTTGACTTATTGATATTGCAATGCGTTGCATCTGTTTCTTTAATGAGCCAAAGTCTTATTACACCAAAGTGATTAAGCTTAACGGATAATGTTTACGTTTTAAAATCACAAATTTGAAAGATCAGTTCACTGAAAAGTAAAATTTTGTATGAAATTAGAAAATTGACAAGGGTTTGACTAGTTGATCACAAAAGAGAGATAGACCATCGAGTACTAGGACAAGGCGGAACTGGGGGCGAGGTAAGGAAAAAAGAAAAAATTGTTTTGATAGTGGTCTCTATCACCTCCCAAAATCTCAGACTTCGGGGGCGCCAGCAACATCGAAAAATTTATGCTTTTTGAAATTTAATTAAAATTTTGAAAACTTCCGAGACTTTTCTAATTAGACTATTGAGAATAGCTCAATTGAGCAGAAACAATTTAACATAGAGTTCTTATTAAATCTGTTTACAAGGGTTTTTTCTCGTTCGTTCAAGTCTCGATACTTCTCACGACTGGGGTTGATATATCTCACCACGAGTTTGAATATATATATTGAATTTTTAATGGGCTGCTTTGATTTTGACTTGGTCCATGAACGTATAAAAAGAAGGATGATTTCCTTTAAATCGGACAGCGACACCAAGATGCATCCCTCTACGGCATTTTTTGTTCTTATCAGGCCAGCTGCAGCTTCTTTTGAATGGTTCCATAAACCTAATGGAAATAATGGCTCTCGGTAGTTGCGACATATTGTCGACCCTTTGATTTTGCTTTTTTTGGAAATAAGAAACAACCTCATCTACCTTTTCAGAAATGGTCTCATCTAGCTCAAAGCAAAGTGAAGAGCAGTTTCCTCGATTTATTCAATTACTTGATCTAACGCAACGATAACCATATTGTCAGTTGGTACGAACCTTATTGCGCGAATGAGTCTATTTGCCAAAGTGAGCTCATGGTTGCTTTCGTACAATTGTTTCCAACCGACTAATTTAATTTTGCGGTTAAAGGCTTGTTAGATGAAAGTAGTATCCTTGGATATGTGCCTCGGAGTAGTGATAAGAGAAAGAGTTTAGAGAAGGAAGATTAAAGTTGAGGAGGATACGGTTGGGTTTGGCATTTTACGCAAGCTCTGACGAACCGTTAAGAAACTTCTTATAGCTATGTCCTCGTTTGTTTGGAAGGAAAGCATAATTGCACGGGGTGCTAAACCTGCCGTTTGTTTATGGACTGAGTATATTTGATGAAATTGCACTGGGCACATTTTGAAGTTGCATTCACAAAGCCATAAATCTCGGTTCAACTCAAGAGCTGTCACATTGTTTCAATAGTTGAAAAATGCAGTTTTTCATCATCCTCGATATTGCTGTCGAAAAATGTTTGGTAATTCAGAATGCCTGTCAAAAATTGGTGGAACAAAGAGTTTTTCCACTTGTTCTTGCCGATTTAGAGCTCTGTTTTTTGCATAAGGAGATGGTAATGCAAGTTGCACTGCTTTTTTGCCCACCACGGATTGCAGGCAGGTTGCAATTATACTGCTGTCAACCGACACTTGCTGAATTTTAGTGTCTTGTTTCATCTTCTAAACAAGAAATCGTGCGTCCAATTGACCAAGGAAGACTTCGTGGCTGTGATCATTCCGTAAAAAAGTAAGTCATCGACATATGTGACAGCTTCCACCTTGCAATTGTGAGAGTGCCGTTTTGAGCATTTCCAGTGTTCGTTCCCATTTTCCGCCTTTTTCCTCTTGATGTAATCATGGCTATCAACTATAAAATTGAGACAACCGCGTTGCCACAACCTCCAAAATATTTTGCGTTTTTTCTGATGCAATTTTAAATAATAAAATATACAGAATGAAACAGTTTTTGCGTTCAATATACTCTTTGTTGTGAAAATTGGGTATTAAATTTAGTCAAATGTTATACAATGCAATCTTTAGGCAAAATGCTCAATTGAGTCCTAAAAGTTGGCCTTAAATGACTTAAAACTTGCACGCTAAAATTTATAATTCAGTTTTTGATAAGTACAAGAGACAGAAAAAAAATTTCGATACAATTGAGCTTAAGATAAATTAGCATAGGGTAATTTAGTAACTAGGGTAAAAGGGCGGATACCAATGTGGAATATATGTAAAATAGTATAGGGCAATTTGGTTGAGCTTACGTTGGAGTAGGGTTATTAGTCTTGCTATTCTGGAAAACACATGCAAATAGCAAACTAATCTCGTGTATTGACATTAAATCGGGTCCTTATGAAGCTCAACTAAGAGTAAGTAGTTTTCAAATTATCCAAACAAATTCGTTGAGACTGTAAAATCCGGACAAAACACTAAGTTAAATTGGACTCAATATTTATATTGTGCATTTTTCGTTTGTGATGCGTCTTTACTTAATTCAAAAAGCGCATTGATACAATTTCAATGCTTCTTTTTATTATGAGTTAAAAAAACTTTTGCAAAAATAACTGAAACGCAACAAAAGCTTAGCAAGAGTTTTTCTACACTTTAAAAAACTCTCGTGTGCCAACACACGCAAAATCGTGTGATCCCTTTTTGAATACTTTTAAAATCCTTTTAACTCTTTTTGTTTCGAAGCAACAACGAATGAGTATAATAATAATAATGAGTGTACTTTAAAGATAAGAAAAGTGTAAATTTATTTGAATGATAGGTTTAAATGAGTCAGGTTTATAAAGTATGAAATCTAATCTCGCTTGTATACCGTTTTTGCTAGTCTTCAACATGGCACTAAGTATCTTTTTAGATTCGATTCTTAGAACCAATTTGATGGAAACCCATGATAACGTTTCAAAATAACTTTTTTTGCAAAATTGGATTTTTCTTTCGATTTTCTAGCACAGGGTTATATTTTATAAAAAATTATATGTTTGACACAATCTTTTGCATTACACTATAACTTGTGGGATAAATTTACACCATAAATTTTTAGAGTGTAATATCTGATAAAATTTTACATTTTTATAAGCTACGGCTCTGAGCTTCTTTAATAAAAAGAAAAAAGTTGGTTGCGGTGTTAGTAGCCACTGCCATTTAAGCAGGTAAAATTTTAATTTGCTCCTAACTCCAAAATGGCTGAGAAATTTTGGAATCGAATGTTTTTTTTTATTACGCAGAATCAATTTTTCAAAGAAAATTTCATACAGGTTTGACTGATGCAACATATTGCAGCTTTTTCAGTCCTGAAATTATCGCATTTTTCCAACAAGAATCAGCTTCTCTAATTGGATGAAGGGGGCTTCTATGATGCAGCTGCAAACTAGTCCCAAGCAGTTTAGACACATAAGCAGTCCTGAAGCTGTCAAAGTGTAGTTGAGAGTCGTGAAGTGAAAATCTTGCTCCAGAGTCATAGCATACATCTGCAAGAGCATCAGGTGTATAATGTACGTAGTGTAGTTGACTCTGGCAAATGGGATCCAAAAATTAGCGGACAAAATGTCATTTATTACCCCGCCGTAACCCAAATTACAAAGCAGAATTAAAATACTCAGAAAGATACCCCAGAGAACTCTGAAGGTTGCGTTGTAAAAAGCAGCTGCCCACACTCCCATATGTCCACCATTGGCGTACGGATAACATCCATAAACACAGATAATTCCGCAGAGGAACCCAAAAGCCCAAAGACCCCATATCATGGCAACTCGAGGCACCACAGGGGTTCGATCGAAGAAAGACTTGATTTGATCTCTTTGGTACAGGGCGAGACCCAAAATGAGGCCTATACCGTATGTCTGGAAACGGCAGTAGGGCGAAAAGTAGAGACGCTCAGTAGCCCAGCTTGTAGTAAAATCGAAATCATTCACGATGTCTGGATTCACAAATGCACCACCGCCCTAAATTTGGAAGTTTTTGAGTAAAAAAGATTTGGGTTAAGGGGTATAGGCAGTAGCTTGTGACGGTTTTAATTACAAATTGTTCCATATTCTAACGATGTCATACAGATTTCACGGTTGGTATTTACTTAATTACAAATAAGTTAATTGAGATATTGCCCCATAAACACACTACTCTTTTATGTGAGCATATACGAATGACAAAAAATCTAATGGCATAAAAATTGCATTCAATGAAAACTCTTTTAATTTTCCAAGACCTCAATTAATTAACTGATTATAAGTATGGTAAGTATGACTCACATCGCCTGGAGGAGCTCTGTTAACTCCAGATGCTTTCAGCACCAGTAGTGTGTTGACTGCAATCACAGCCCCAATGGACAGGTAGCCCCAAAGTTTGTTCATTCTGGCCGCAACAATGAAGAGCGGAGAAATGATGAAGAACTGGACATCATTTGCCACGTACCACGTCCAGTCTAAAACAGTACTGGGATCTACTTAACAACCCCCTCTATGGTATCTAGTGAGTAATCCCCAACCCCCCCCCCCCCCCAACCCCCTCTTAAATAAAAGGAGCAAATTAGTGCAACTTACTTCATCAAAAAATTTTATATTTTAAAGAAATGAAACTTTACTCTTATTGATTTTTTTTGAAAATTGTCTTATTGATAATGACTATTTATTCAAACTGAAATTGATGCTCACTTTTCGTCTCAAAGACTCAGCTGTTTAATTTTTGAGGTGACCCACTCGATGAGATGAAAGTCTCTTAGGGTTACTGTCCAGGCATTTATGATAGTATTTACTTGCTGTTGTAATGTAGCTGTTAAATTTAAACTTCTAAACTTTTAGGCTAGAGTTTTCTGGCTTCCGATTTGATCTTCATAACCTTCCCCCCGCTTTTTTCCTTGAAAGGGAGGAGACTGTTAAGTAGATCCCTGTAATGTGTCAACCCAGGGCATAAATCAAACAACAATATACAGACTTTGATGACATAATTTTTTCAGCGTGCCATTATTTTTTAATTTTTTATTGTTAATTTATTGTTTATTCAAAGCTTTATTGTTTATTCAAAGCTACAATGTTAATCAAAGCTTCAAAGTTATATGCCCGCAATGAAATTACATTGATAATAATCGATTATAATGGAGTTTCATGGCATGTTACCTTAAGCCTCTAAAATAATTGATTTTTATAGGATTAAAACTCATTTATAAAATAAATAGAGTAGAAACCAATTTATATCATTATAATTGATCATAATGGATGTAATGGATTATAATAGATTATAATGGTTTATATTAGATTTTCATAAGTTGGAGCCCATATTTTAAAAAAATTTTGAAATTAAAAACTTGAAACTTGAACGTTGCAATCGATGAATTGAGTTTCACTCTGACTTGTTTTTCGCTTGTCAAATTTTTTACTTGTCTTCCCCTCCCCACCATTAAACCGTTTCTTATATTTACCATAAAATACTTGAAAAACATTGTAAACACGCGCAACCATCCCCTCACACACAAGCCTATAGCCTCTCCCTAAAGATCTTTACGCCGCCCCCCCCATATCAATTTACAAGAGTGTCAAGCGTCTTGGAAGTGGGGCAAAAATTTGTGTATGGAGGGTAGCAAGTGTGAGTGTGAAAAAGGGTTAGCTGGTGGGGTAGATGGGGTTAGGGTAGATGGGGGATGGATATGTGGTTTTATGTGTGGGGATAAATGTGAAGGATGGGGGCACATTTGAGGGTGTTCAACTTGGGCTTTAAAATTGAGAAGACCTGGGCTTAAATTGTGCGGGATAAGGTTTTGCAAAACGAAGTAAATTTAAGTAGATTTAGAATACGAGTAGGCTGTGAGTAGTGCAGAAAAGCCTTTAAAATTTGCAGAAAGATGGAAAATTATTTTACAGATTATAATCCATTATAATCCATTATAATCCATTATAATGGATTTTAAATGGCTTCTAATCGGTTTAGTGTCACTAAAAATAATGGATTATAATGGACTATAATCGATTGTGCATTGCAAAGTGCAATTATAATCGATAAAAATGGCAACATTTTTCACCTCGAAAATCGAATATAATCGATTATTATCCATGGAACCTCACTGCTGATTAATATTAACTATCAACACATAAAAGTGAAAATATCATCATCGAATTGGTTCAAAATACTTCTTTTGCTTTAATTACCTAGTGCCGAGCTTATATTAACAATTTTTTCAAATGTGATAAAATGAATGATTTCAAGTTCAAAAGGGTTCTTACTAATGCATGATTGAGATGGATTGTCAAGATTGTTGAAAAAGAAGGCAGTAGGCATCCATTTAGTACCAGAACAAAGCCCCACCAAAGAAGTATTCAGCTCATTTTGGTAGAACGTACTATAAAACACAGGGGCTAGCTGGGGGAAAATCCCAACTACGAATAGAATGGTCAGCAGGATAGTTGGCCATAGTCGTATCAATCTATGGACATAGAACATGATCCAAAATTTAGGATTGCCAAACGTTGGGTTCGGAAGTGTTTCCATGGTCTTAAGAGATCCATACATGACCAGGAGTCCACTCATGACGAAGAAAGAGTCTACGGAGGGAGTCCCGTTCATGATGGTTTGAAACAGGAGATTTTTTCCGCGTTCATAGACGTAAAGAAAGTTATCGGACATGAAAGTTTGAACGAGTATAGTGTGGCCAATCATGACCCAACCCAAACTTAGAACCCGAATTCCGTTCAATACTGGAAACTGCTGCCCGGGACTAGATTTAGTTGGAATTGCTTAAAAAACAGCAAATATATTTGAACACTAAAATAGCCAGAATAAAAAACATACTGATGAGATTCTATTATTAGGTTTTTTGCAAAACTTAGTCAAGCTGCTTTAGGTCAACCATTTGGATTTTTTAGATCTTTTGGAGAAACCCATGAATTATCATATTTGTCAAAGGATTTAGCGCTGCGGATGGTTTTTGGAAAATTTAGCGCTGCGGGTGGTTTTTGCGGGGTTTCTGAGAATATTTTGAAAAATTTTGACTAAGAGATTAGTTTTTTGTAGCAAATAACATTTGCGTTGTTGGCTTTTCTTTAGACTCTTAGAGAAATTTAAGAGTTGGATAGCCAAAAATGTCTGCAAAAGTTTGACGGCCAGAATAGAACAAATCTTTCTCATATTGGTACCCTAACGCTACAATCTATGGGTTTTTTCATAATATTACTCAGAATTTTGGTGAAGTTGGCGTAGAAGTCGAAACACTTCAGGAACCGATCAGCCAAACTGAGAAACGAAGAGACTGGATCCAAATTGACAATTGGCTCATCCTGGTTTACTGTTTGCTCATTTCTTCGGTCGTCATCAAGTTGGACGCTAAATTCACGATTGTACCCAGCGTCTTTTTGAATTCCATTTTTGTAGATTTCTAAAAAAAACACAATCATTTTTGAATCCAACCACTACGGGGGGAATTATGGGTTTGTGCTTTTTTTGGGCAAAAATAAATGTCAGAGTCCTGGGTGCAGACAAAAAAGGTCTTCATTTTTTGCTTTTCAAATCAAATTAGTGCCACACGTTTTTAATAAGCTTTTTTTGACATGTAATCATTTTCGACATATATGGAAATGTTTGTGTCTGAAGTTTTTCTTTGTTAAGGCTGCTAAGGCAAGGTTACACTATTCAAGTTCATTTGGTTGGCGACGGAGTTGAATCCCTGAAAAATAGCCCCCCCCCCCTATTAATCCGCCCGTTCAAGTTATTCAAATAGTCTTTAACCAAATTGGCAAACATAAGCTAAGAATATCCGTCAATGACAGTTAATTTTTATATTTTCCTCGTGGTTTTTTTGGATAGAACTTAGGAGCTATCTTGGATCACGCGTCCTGCCAACTGACTTATTTTAGCTACCAAAAATGACTGCGCTCTATAATATGAAAATTTCAAACCACCTTTTCTAGAGACCTAGAAAATATTTGGAATTTTTAGAATATCGACAAAGCCAAGGGTTCCAAAGTCACAATTTTAAAATGATAAACAATTCGACCCAACCTGACGTTTATCTGTGTAACCTGATTTTGGGAAGAGAAAAAAGACGCACAAAATTGGGCGTTTCGAGAGAGAGTAAACCGTGGTGTAAATTTCAGAAATATAAATGTAAGGCTGCAATGCATAAAATTAGTCGAAGACAAGGAATTAGAGGTCATCTGATGGTGACAGTCAACTCCGAAGGTTATATACCAGTTAGCACCAGACTGATCAACTGAATGCATTGGATAGAAGAGAATAGATCTAAAATGAACTGTGAACTAACTTAATCACTATGACATTGCCCTTCTTGCGGAAAAATGAAAGAAATGAAACTTTAAAGTACTCAAGGAAATTAATGACGAAAGGTTTTATTTTAAAATTAAGCTTTGATAGCAAAAAAGTATAACATAACTGGCAGGTATAACATCAAGGCTTTTTAAAGGCACTTGTAGGCACCCATTGTAGGCATTTTTAGCCCGATTTCTCCTCTTTCTTCGTTTATTTTTCTCCGCCTTCGACCCTTTGTATATGGTCGATCATGACGGCCCCATTTTGTTTATCGCTATGCACTTCCTCCCGCTTCGCCTTGGTGTAGTTTCGTCCTGCAAACTTGCCGAACTTGCTGACTCCTGGCTCGAATAAGACAATAATCGCTAATTTTGTACTCGCTTCCTCACGTGCGCTTTTGGAATTTTCGTTTCTCCTGATGCCACAGGCTCGGTTAGCTCGAAAGTCGCCCACTCCGTTTCGCCTTCTTTTTTCCCTCTGTCTGTCTTGCAATCGATTACATTGTCGCCCTAGCGTAATCGCTAGGTCGGACTTTTGTCTCGTTGACCGTTTTCGCACCGATTGTCGCTCGCCCCTCAGTTTTTATATTCGACCGGTTTTCTTGCGGTTCTCCGTATCTCCTCCCATGAACTTGAATCCGGTGCTCTTGCTGCTTCCCGTACTAGCATCCTTTTCATTGCTAGTGGCATGTCGTCCTCGACATCGGATTCGGAGTAGTCCCCGTCGGCTCGTCGACCTTTTTGCGGCTGCTTGTGGTTGTTTTCCTGCTTTTTGAACTTGATGGTCTCTCGGTCATCATTTTTCGCCCCACGTCTTGTGGTGTCGGTAGGATTTTAATGTCTCCAGGGGCTCTTTTATTGGGTTTGTGATTTTGTGCAACGCCACTCCCGATTTCCTAAGAACAGCTCCGTTACTCATGTTAACGGTGTGGCCAGTTCCTTCACTACTTTAGAATTTAGTGGTTTGTACCTGCTAAGGTTTCTATCCCCTGTCCGCTGCATAAATTCTTCCAGTGGCGCTGTTGACGCTGATAGTCCCTCTTTTAGGCTCAACGCCCTGATCATTGATCTGGTCGTCCGCCAATTGTATTGAATGGCGCCTAGTCTTTGCATTATAAACGGTATCAGACCTAACTCCCCAGTCTCTATTCTTCCCCGAGCGTCTCTGCAACATCCTGCTCACCTTGGATAGATTTCACGTTCTCCCCTAGTGTTTTTTGGATCAGCTGCAACCCGAGGCTTGACATCAAGTCCCTTCTAACAATAGATAGTCTGCTTTGATTATAGCCAATCACTTTGATTTTAGCCTGGTCGTTGTTCTGCCAGCTTAGCAGTCCGTTTGTTTCACTCCTGTGGTGCCCAGTGTTCTCCTCAACTACCCCGATGGTAAATATTGAAATTGGCGAGCCGCTATCTATACATACGCTCGTTTGTCTCCCATTAATTTTCATCGGTAGTTTCGCGACCGCGACTTTTAGTTCGGTTTTTTTCCTTGAATGAATAACCATAACCACAAAACCATTCGAACTATCAGAACCCCATGACCTATATCTCTCCTCAGGCATATTGAACCATCTAATCGAGCTTTCATTTTGCGAATGAATGTCCTCCGTGTCCCCGGATTCACTCATATCTAGTTCCTCTTGTCTTTTAATTAGTCCTGCTGCCGGGCGTCCTGGGTTCCCACGTTTTCCTCTGTTTATTTTTTTGTATCAAGTTGCGCTCCTTGCTGGACATCTCGTCGAATGCTCTGGTGTAAAATTTGGTTGATCGAAGTTATAGCACCTTTTGTTTCCCTGTTATATTCCCCCTCGGGGTTCAGGTGCCGCCCGGTATGGTCCCCGTCCGCGTTGTCTGATATTCTTATAGCCGCATCCAATCGCTCGCACCGGTTCCGTTTTAATCTGGAACGCTCCATCGTTCGTGCTGCTCGGTGTTGCTACTCCGGTTGTCGATACGTACGTTTTCGCGTACTTGTCTCCTCGCTCCTAAGATACCGCTATACGACACACCTCCTCGGGTGTTTTTTATCTGCATAGTTTGTTTTGAGCTTCTCTGTTATTCGTGTTCACAATGAATACATCCCTTAAAATCCTTGTCTCCAATGCCCCAAAACTGCATCGTGCCGGTTATCCACTTAAGCACAAATGGAGCTGTTCCAATGATTCCCCGATGTGCTGTTTCCTTGCTAGCAAATGGAACGTCTCTCCGTTTCTAAAGCATCAAAAACCCTCGTTAAGTCCAGATGTGGTCTGAGCCTATGGAATTCATCCTGTTCTTTTGGCCCAAGGCACAGGTATATATTCAATATCAACGTCTTTTCCGCCTCCAGTCGGTTTTTCCCGTCCACTTCTGCTGGTAGAGCCGCAACTTGGGCTGTCGTTAGGTTTAATTTAGGCTATCGTAGAATGTTTTCGGCTGTTGTAGAATTTTTTCGAATTAAAGTCATGTTTCGCCACCCACCATTACCCATTGAAAACAATTAAACCAATACTACCATAGCTTTGGCGGCTCTGGGAGCTTGGGAGGCCAGAGCGACGTTATCCCTAGTGTGTTTTCTCCCCATTTTGGCATGTTGGCTGCTCCATGTCATGAAAGAGTTAACGATAGGTAAAATTTCAGATAGAGAAATGTAAGGCTGCAATGCATAAAGTTAGTCGCAGACAATGATTTAGAGGTCGACCGATGGTGACAGACAGCTCAGAAGCTTAAATACCAGTTAGCACCAGACAGTTTAATTGAATGCATTGCATTGGAGAGAATAGAACTAAAATGGACTGTTAACTAATTTGTTAACTATTACAGGCGTTTTTTTCTCCTCGGTAAATCAGTTACCACATAACCGCCAAAAAATTTTAGCTTCAACTTGCTTCTAAAAAAATTACTCTGTGCGGAGTATGACGTGCTACTTGCATAGCAATCGACTATTCCTATTCTTTTTATCTCATTGACCGACCCTAATTTATCCAGGGGATTTAGATCTGCGAAATATTTTGTTGCCTTCAATGGATTTGTTTTGGATAGGAATGAGATATACAAGGCAAAATAAATTGTCCCAAAAAGTTTTAAAAGTTTTTTCCATGTATATATGGTTCTAAAATCCTAAATTTTTCGCTCTGTTAAACAAAAAGAAAAACAGATTTATGATTTGATGCTCATCTAGACACATTGTTCGAAATTTTTTTTGATGATGCTAGTCCAATCTCTAGGGCATGGGGCAGTGTATTTTTTAGTCAAACCGTTTCACTGGTTAATATTCCTGATTTTTTTGAAAAACAGTTGAAATCACACAAAATAATTTTGAATTCTTTCAATTGAAGCATTCGTGTTCAAAAACAAAGTAACAAACTAACAAATAGAGCAGTGTTGTTTAATTTTTTTTGATTTTTTTTTTGGTATTTGCTTCCTTGTGAAAATAAAATTTCATGGTCTTTCTTAATTTAGATCTTTTAATACAAATTTTTTGGAAAAAAAAGAAAAAAAAGTTGAAGGTGTTTTTCAACCGTAAATTTCAGAAAATGTTTGTAAAGAGGACCGACCATTTATTAGCAGTAACTTCTGCTGAACAATTTCACCGGTTGAAAAACTTTAACCCTACCAAATTTCCTTTATCACGTAACCTGATCGTCAAAAGGAATAAATTTATTACTGATATCATCATACCGTTGAGTTTGCTCAACATGTTGCTAGTGGTGGCGACTGTGATCAGCAGAAGAATGATTCCGAACACGACCACTGCAGTTATGAAGGCACCAGTTGCCTCAAATTTTTCCCTTCCATCTGCAACCACCCATTCAGTGTTCACACCTAAATAATAATTGGACACCTACTTACAGTGTGCAATTACGCACAGAACTTTCCGATGACAGATTGCAGAATTGTGTACACAGGTTGCTATTTTTCTCAATTTCATTTTCAATTTTGTGTACTTATCTCATGAAGGGATTTTCGAAAAACATTTTGAAAGTTCTCTCGAGTTTTTTTTTTTGAGTTAAATTATTTTCTTAACTCTCTTCCTAACTCTCTTATTGGTGCCAGAATCGGGGATTCCTTTATAAGCTCCGCTAAAAAGTTTGCGTCAAACAAGCTGGCTAATCCCACTACTCTGTTCTTTTGTTTGTTCAACAATGGGATGGATTGACAGAGCTTATTTCAAAATCTTTGAAGCCACATAACGATTTTGCTTCGCCCGACAGTCGTTTTTTTTGCGCTCGTTCGATTTTTGATTTGAATTGAGCTGATGGTGAGTGGTGAATGTTGTTTTTAGTCTCGTGTCGTGTTTAATGCTGCCCTCCGTTGTTTTCGTCGTATTAGCTCTATATGTTAATCCTTGCCAGCGGTCTTGATCGAGTTAATGCCGGATGAAAATGTTGACAAGAGTTGTCACATATTTAACAATAATTAAACAATAATAATCATAAAGTAAGCTTTTTGAATCAATCAAGCTTTTTCTCTGAGTTAAACACGGATCTTTCGACGACTTAAACTAGCACCTCATAATTTGAAAGCATGTCAGACAGTCAATTTATGTAAATTGGGTAAATCGACTCAATGTCAGGAAAAAGTTAAGTGTCTTTTGAATTATACACAACTATGCACTAAGTGCACATAATTTAATTAAGCGCCAGAAAAAAACAGTATGCGCTACCTACCAAAACGACCCTATTTCTTGAAATAGGCAATAATTCGAAACCCCTTTTCCTTAATTTATTTTTTGGAGCTTAATATTTACTGGATTTCAGCTATTCTAAGCTCTGGTTTTTAAAAAAATTAACCTGATGGTAAAATGCTAAGACAGCATCCCGCTTGTTCATACTAAGCTAGCTGCCTTTCACATTTTCCTACCATACGAGAAGTTGTTGCCTCAACCATTGTCCTACTTTTTAACCCACGTTATTTCGATCCTATTTTTACACTTTATCAGCCCCTAACAAGATAACCCTACTACAATTTGACCCCCTTTTTAAAAAGGAGTTAAAAGACACAGGGTTGTAAAATTGGGAACTGCCTCAGCCAAAAACGTCAAATTTTCTGACTTGCAGGAAAAACCATTAAAAAAAACAAAACATGCCATCTTATTGTTTCCAGTATTTCAATGAAGTTGAACATTTGGATGACCAAATTAGCAATTTTAAAAACAGCTGACCAAATCATCTAAAAAAGTAGAGTTGCGCATTTTGAGATCCACGTGTTCAAACCGCTTACCTAACTCGTGAAGCGCGTATTTGAAGACCCGAGCGACTTGTGAGTTCGAACAAGACAGAGGCATGCATGTTCCCAGAGACAACTGCAGTCCGGTGTGTACCTTGAATGTCACCAGGAATGGACCAGAATCCGGAAAGGAGCTCTGAACGGGAGAGCTGTCCAGTTTTATATTCACACATTCTTCTGGTTGGCCAGCAAAAGTTGTATGGAAAAGGGCGAATCCAGTTCCTGGAACGGCATAGGAGTCCCAGAACTTGAAGTTTAAGGAAAAGTTGGATGATGAAATATCACGAAGGTCTTTGCGACACTGTTGGTTCACAGAAACAGAGTCCAGAATTTCATCGTAGTTCTTGATCAGATGGTCGCGTACATGTTTCACGTGGTTAACAGAGTTGGTAAGATTATCAAAGGGAATTCGAGTTAAAAGTTCGGCTTTTCGTTGCACTTGACGGATGAAAACTTTAGGGTTGCCTATTTGAGATTGAGTTTCACACACAGCAAAAAGAGCCACGAAAAATAAAAACTTGAGAAACATTTTTATAGCGAAAGTTCATACAAGAAAGTCAAATTAATAACCAAATTTGTGCTTGTCAATGATCATACTTATTAAATATATTGTGAGATTTCAAACAAATAAGTGTTGATCAAATTTGAACGAATTGCCTTATTAAAATCTCGATGTAAAATCTCGTTGTAAAATCTCGTTTAAAGGTTTCAAATTACAAGTTCATATCAAGACAAAATCAATGACAACGGAATGCAGCTTTTTACAGCGGTGACCTTTAAAAATCTTAAAACTGCACATTTTTTTATTTTCTAAATACTGCTATTTAAAATTATTTAACTTGCGGGGGGCGGGATTGGGAGGGGGAAAGCCATTTTCAACTGAAAAATCCTTAAAGTTTTCTCCTTTGTGTTTTCTTGTAAATTTTCTCTCGTGTCAAAACAGTTTGAGAGGTAGCAATGGCAGCTAAATCTAGCATTAATTAGCTTTGTTCAGAGATAGTTGTTAATTTAGCTTTTCAAAGATCGCATGCATACAAGCAGTGAAAAACCAGACAATATTTTGAAACATAACGCTCCATTCTAGTCCATGATTTCTAGCAGTTTTCAGCTGTGACAGTTTTTTTTTCACCTTCAGTTTCTATGGTAACAATTTTGATTGTTTTTTTTTGGGCATGGATAAATTCACACCATTGGCCAAACAAGGTTTTTTTTCCAAAACTGTGAAAAATTGACTGTTCAGTTTGTTTTCCGATGGCAGCGGCCGTTTTTTGAACGCATGTTTTATCGAAGAAGGATACAACTAGAGCGTCGGTAACAAATTGTTAGCTTTTTGATTTGGCGCCCAGTATCAGTTTTTGCAGTAGATCACTTAAAATTTAAAGAACATTTGTAACGAAAGTAACCATTACGAGACCAAACTGTGCATTCTGTGCATTGTATGCGGATTCCACAACAGGCCAAAATCAGATTTGTCCCGGAATCCACATCATTGCTACTTTTCTTTGATCATCTTTGCTGTTATGAATTCCACAAACAAATACAAAAAACACTGTTGCGCTCAAAGTGACACCAAAAATAGACGAATTTGCGGAATCCGCAACCGTATTTGCGCAATCCAGAACAGTTTGTGGAGTCCACAAACAAATAATAAGACATGTTTATAGTTAAATTGAGCTGTTGTGGAATCCGCAACTGTAAGCGGAATCCGCAAAGTGTAAGTGGAACATGTTTTAAGACTAGTTTCTGGAATCCAGTAACACACAGACACAAAATTGTGCGCCTATCCAGTGCATAATTTGGCCTGGTAATGACGGAGTATTTGTGACCGGGGTGATTTTTTTTCAGACAAATTTCGACTTTTTTAGCCATTTTTGACGGAGTACTTTTTATCATTCGAAAAATATTGTTGTCTTGAGCTTAAATTTGAAAAGATAGTTCACTTGAGATCGTTTTTTGTAGAGTTATTGTGGTTTAAAAATTGTCATTTTGGCCAATTTGGAACAATTAACGCGCGATAGTTTTCGCGCTATTAACGCGTAAGCGGAGAGTTAATCCGTCTTAGAAATCGTTCCAAACTGGTTGAAAGAAGCTTATTTGCCATAATTGATTTGTTACAAGGAGCGAAAACCATCCTTTTGTATTTTATATGGCGTGTGGAGGGGATGATTTCTATTAAAAAACTCAAATTTTAGAAAAAAAAATTTTCATTTTGTTTTACTAAATTTAACTTTTTAATGTTATCACTGCCCCATAAACCATAAAAGGCAGTCGGAACATTCCGGGCTTTGCCCTAATACCAGCAGTCTTTTTTATTTTCTTAACTCAATATCCTTGATTGTCCCAGTTTTCAAAACAAAATGACAGTCATTTGGGGTTGCCTTTTTCTTATTAAAAAGTTCGACTTTTTGAATAGCCGTTTTTGGCGGATTTTGAAAATATCTGCTGCTCTGATCTCAAACGAATAAAAAACATAACTGTGACTTTTTGAAACTATGCTTAGGAGGAGGGGGGAATTGATAATCATTATTTATCAAACGCGTAATCAACGGTTTAAATGGCTCAAAAATCTTTTCAAAAGGTAATGATGAATTGTATTTTTGCTTCAAATTTTTATTTTAAAATTTTTCTGAAATTTATTTTCATTTTTCGGTTTGACAGATGAAGGATGACAAAGCATAACTTAAATTCGTCGAGAATTTTCAATATTTAGACTTGTAAAAAACATTTGGAGTAACCTTATAGGTCAATTAAAAATAGTTCATCTTGACAAAAAACATGAACTTTAGAAAAAATTAACACATTTAAAAAAAAACCACCAATATTTTGTTTATTGTAGGGGATTGATTTTTATAAAGTTTGCAAGGTTTCCGATACGCTTTTGTTGTTCATTAAAAAACATAAAACAACCATTTTAAAATTTTTAGAGCTAGATGCTCGTGAAGCCTAAATTTTATGCAAAAATGTGCGAAAACAAATTAAAAATTAATTTAGAGCTATTTTATTGTACTATACTTCTGGTAAAGATTTGTCGAGCAGAGTACTGTACTTGCTCTAACTGTTAGTGTTTTAAATAATGATTGCGTTTGTATATACAGAGTATTTTCAAAACGTGTTTTTGCTAAATCCTTTCTCGTTTACGAATAGTTTTTGTTGAAGTCTTTTTAGTAGGCAGGAAAACTCAGCGAATTCTAATGATTTAATTCATCATGAAATGGTTTTTTTTCACAATGTTTTTTTGATTTAAGGAAATTTCACCGCTTTTTAAACTTGACAAGCTACTTTAGTGCGGAGTGAAAACAACAGGATAAAATCAACTGTCAGCTAAAATGGAACGTTCTCACCAATTTTTCTCAAATGTGGTTTTACTTAGCTAAAAAATGATCGAGACAAAATGCTTGAAATTTTACTAGCTTTTATATGGTGTGAATTTTAATGCAAAAAAAATCAAACCAAAAATACACTCATAAGACTGGTCAATTAATTTGGTTCAAAAATAAGGAGGTAAACGGGACCAATTGATGTATAAAAAACTACAGTTGAGCCTGTTTACTACCTTACTTTTGAACAAAATTAATTGAACCATTTTAAGTGTGTTATTTTGTTTTAATTTCTTGCTTCGAAATTTACACCATCAAAAAGCAGGCAAAAATCCAAGCATTTTCCTCTATCCTTGTTTGGTCAAATATAACCGAATTTGAGACAAACGAGTTAGAAAACTCGGCATTAGCTCAATTTATCCGATTGTTTTGATTCAGCGCTATAGTAATTTGTTCAGCACAAAAGGAAGTGCATTTTCATTAAATGGCGCGAAAAAAATGCGTGAACAAGAGTGATCGAAATTAATGATTTATATCATCCGAATTCGACAAATTTTCGCTGACTTCTGCAAGATGAATCACTTCATTAACCCAAATATATGTGAAATGAGAGAAGATTTATTAGAAAAAAAAATTTGAAAGCAACCTGTAATCTGCGCATTTTTGGCTGGTTTATACTTCAGCTGCTTGGTTCACACCCGATTCTTTGCTTTTGTACTAAACTCTAACATGTATTGTAGGTTTGCGTAGCAAAGGAAGCATGTCGGATCTGGTCAACGTAATGAACTGATGCTTGATTATTGGTGACAGATCGTTTGACAGGCCAATCTTTTAGCAGAGCAACGTAATGAATTGATGCGTGATTGGTTGACAGACTCCATAAGACGCTCAGTATTGTGTCAAGCGTCCCAAATCAAGACAATTAACTCATGATTTGTCAACAAAACTATTCACTTCAAAAACACAACGGTGTAAATTTGCGGCAAAACAAAGATTTACGTGCACAAAAACACTCGTGCCGAATGGTAGCGCAACAGAGCAAGCAGTCGCTTATCACCAAAGATGCGTTTGAAGTTGGCGTTCTGACTTGCTAAATGTTCTGAGTCTGCTAAAAACTAGTCTTCTAAAACTCCTAGCGCCATATTTATTGCACTCATTATATTTGAAGTATCAGTATACAACTGAGTTAACAGTACAGTGCAAAATACTAATGTCAAATCATTAAATACGCTTGAATAATTCAGATTTTAGTCCATTTTTGATGGCTCTCATTTATCAAGTTTTTTTTAATTTACCACCCCTCCAATATTTTGAATTTTTTTATCTTATTGTCATTTTACCTGTTTTTAACGCTGAATGCGTTGTCTTACAATCAACCCTCGAATTCTATTGAAGTGGCCTTAGAGCTCGGAATATCAATTAGCTCACGCAAAAAAAATGTAGATCCGCTTTGCTTTTTTCTACAGCAAAAACTACAATAATAGATTGAAACAATTTGAAGTTCAATTCTGCCAAATTTGATTTTCGTTTTCTATTTTTGTTTTAGCTTTTCGAGAAGTATGAATTTCCAGTAAGCCTGTAAAAACAATGATTCTCAACCGGAGAGCTTTCACCATGCTAGATTTCTTTTTTTCTTTTCACGACCTATGAGGTTTAACCCCATGAATTAAAAAAAATTTCGAAAAGAAATTTTATTCGGACAAATTGAAACATGTTCAGTTGACAGCATTACCATGCAAGCAAGTTTTCAGATGGGTAACATCACAAGGTGGAAACTCTTTCCTGGTTGTTAGCAAAGAATGAGTGTAATTACATGATCAACAATAAATATCTTTTGTATTGAATTTAAATAGTACAAATTCGTAGTGAGTCTGAATAAATAAGAAGTAGTCGAAGCAGTATGAAATCGAAAATTTTAGCGAAGAGAATTCTTTCATGCTTTTCTTCAGAGCAGATTCTCAGCTTAATGAAGAAAAATGATACGCGAATATACGATGCCAATTTTATTTTATGTATTGCTTTTTTGATGAGAGTCCGCTTTAAAAAAGAAGCATCAATCATGAACAGAAAACGATCAAGTAAAAAATTGTTTGAGCAGAACCAGAACTACTGTGCATATAGAAACACGAACTTTTGAAGCTTTCAGCTCATCACAGACCTCCATGTTCTTAGCTAGCATACAGTCCAGAACCTTCTAGAAGAATCTCGAAGCGATGGGAAGAAGAAGCAGAGTGATCATCGGGCCGAGAGTGGAAGCGTGGGACTGCTTGGCGGCCAGCGCTGCTTCCATCGCCTTGACATAATCGATGTTGCGCTCAGGGTTCTCCATGCCGACCAGGGTAGCATTACCACCATTCAGTGCCTTGAAGTCCTTGTCCTCTACAACCTCAATTTTAGTCACACAGACAGCTCAGAAGCTTAAATACCAGTTAGCACCAGACAGTTTAATTGAATGCATTGCATTGGAGAGAATAGAACTAAAATGGACTGTTAACTAATTTGTTAACTATTACAGGCGTTTTTTTCTCCTCGGTAAATCAGTTACCACATAACCGCCAAAAAATTTTAGCTTCAACTTGCTTCTAAAAAAATTACTCTGTGCGGAGTATGACGTGCTACTTGCATAGCAATCGACTATTCCTATTCTTTTTATCTCATTGACCGACCCTAATTTATCCAGGGGATTTAGATCTGCGAAATATTTTGTTGCCTTCAATGGATTTGTTTTGGATAGGAATGAGATATACAAGGCAAAATAAATTGTCCCAAAAAGTTTTAAAAGTTTTTTCCATGTATATATGGTTCTAAAATCCTAAATTTTTCGCTCTGTTAAACAAAAAGAAAAACAGATTTATGATTTGATGCTCATCTAGACACATTGTTCGAAATTTTTTTTGATGATGCTAGTCCAATCTCTAGGGCATGGGGCAGTGTATTTTTTAGTCAAACCGTTTCACTGGTTAATATTCCTGATTTTTTTGAAAAACAGTTGAAATCACACAAAATAATTTTGAATTCTTTCAATTGAAGCATTCGTGTTCAAAAACAAAGTAACAAACTAACAAATAGAGCAGTGTTGTTTAATTTTTTTTGATTTTTTTTTGGTATTTGCTTCCTTGTGAAAATAAAATTTCATGGTCTTTCTTAATTTAGATCTTTTAATACAAATTTTTTGGAAAAAAAAGAAAAAAAAGTTGAAGGTGTTTTTCAACCGTAAATTTCAGAAAATGTTTGTAAAGAGGACCGACCATTTATTAGCAGTAACTTCTGCTGAACAATTTTACCGGTTGAAAAACTTTAACCCTACCAAATTTCCTTTATCACGTAACCTGATCGTCAAAAGGAATAAATTTATTACTGATATCATCATACCGTTGAGTTTGCTCAACATGTTGCTAGTGGTGGCGACTGTGATCAGCAGAAGAATGATTCCGAACACGACCACTGCAGTTATGAAGGCACCAGTTGCCTCAAATTTTTCCCTTCCATCTGCAACCACCCATTCAGTGTTCACACCTAAATAATAATTGGACACCTACTTACAGTGTGCAATTACGCACAGAACTTTCCGATGACAGATTGCAGAATTGTGTACACAGGTTGCTATTTTTCTCAATTTCATTTTCAATTTTGTGTACTTATCTCATGAAGGGATTTTCGAAAAACATTTTGAAAGTTCTCTCGAGTTTTTTTTTTTGAGTTAAATTATTTTCTTAACTCTCTTCCTAACTCTCTTATTGGTGCCAGAATCGGGGATTCCTTTATAAGCTCCGCTAAAAAGTTTGCGTCAAACAAGCTGGCTAATCCCACTACTCTGTTCTTTTGTTTGTTCAACAATGGGATGGATTGACAGAGCTTATTTCAAAATCTTTGAAGCCACATAACGATTTTGCTTCGCCCGACAGTCGTTTTTTTTGCGCTCGTTCGATTTTTGATTTGAATTGAGCTGATGGTCAGTGGTGAATGTTGTTTTTAGTCTCGTGTCGTGTTTAATGCTGCCCTCCGTTGTTTTCGTCGTATTAGCTCTATATGTTAATCCTTGCCAGCGGTCTTGATCGAGTTAATGCCGGATGAAAATGTTGACAAGAGTTGTCACATATTTAACAATAATTAAACAATAATAATCATAAAGTAAGCTTTTTGAATCAATCAAGCTTTTTCTCTGAGTTAAACACGGATCTTTCGACGACTTAAACTAGCACCTCATAATTTGAAAGCATGTCAGACAGTCAATTTATGTAAATTGGGTAAATCGACTCAATGTCAGGAAAAAGTTAAGTGTCTTTTGAATTATACACAACTATGCACTAAGTGCACATAATTTAATTAAGCGCCAGAAAAAAACAGTATGCGCTACCTACCAAAACGACCCTATTTCTTGAAATAGGCAATAATTCGAAACCCCTTTTCCTTAATTTATTTTTTGGAGCTTAATATTTACTGGATTTCAGCTATTCTAAGCTCTGGTTTTTAAAAAAATTAACCTGATGGTAAAATGCTAAGACAGCATCCCGCTTGTTCATACTAAGCTAGCTGCCTTTCACATTTTCCTACCATACGAGAAGTTGTTGCCTCAACCATTGTCCTACTTTTTAACCCACGTTATTTCGATCCTATTTTTACACTTTATCAGCCCCTAACAAGATAACCCTACTACAATTTGACCCCCTTTTTAAAAAGGAGTTAAAAGACACAGGGTTGTAAAATTGGGAACTGCCTCAGCCAAAAACGTCAAATTTTCTGACTTGCAGGAAAAACCATTAAAAAAAACAAAACATGCCATCTTATTGTTTCCAGTATTTCAATGAAGTTGAACATTTGGATGACCAAATTAGCAATTTTAAAAACAGCTGACCAAATCATCTAAAAAAGTAGAGTTGCGCATTTTGAGATCCATGTGTTCAAACCGCTTACCTAACTCGTGAAGCGCGTATTTGAAGACCCGAGCGACTTGTGAGTTCGAACAAGACAGAGGCATGCATGTTCCCAGAGACAACTGCAGTCCGGTGTGTACCTTGAATGTCACCAGGAATGGACCAGAATCCGGAAAGGAGCTCTGAACGGGAGAGCTGTCCAGTTTTATATTCACACATTCTTCTGGTTGGCCAGCAAAAGTTGTATGGAAAAGGGCGAATCCAGTTCCTGGAACGGCATAGGAGTCCCAGAACTTGAAGTTTAAGGAAAAGTTGGATGATGAAATATCACGAAGGTCTTTGCGACACTGTTGGTTCACAGAAACAGAGTCCAGAATTTCATCGTAGTTCTTGATCAGATGGTCGCGTACATGTTTCACGTGGTTAACAGAGTTGGTAAGATTATCAAAGGGAATTCGAGTTAAAAGTTCGGCTTTTCGTTGCACTTGACGGATGAAAACTTTAGGGTTGCCTATTTGAGATTGAGTTTCACACACAGCAAAAAGAGCCACGAAAAATAAAAACTTGAGAAACATTTTTATAGCGAAAGTTCATACAAGAAAGTCAAATTAATAACCAAATTTGTGCTTGTCAATGATCATACTTATTAAATATATTGTGAGATTTCAAACAAATAAGTGTTGATCAAATTTGAACGAATTGCCTTATTAAAATCTCGATGTAAAATCTCGTTGTAAAATCTCCTTTAAAGGTTTCAAATTACAAGTTCATATCAAGACAAAATCAATGACAACGGAATGCAGCTTTTTACAGCGGTGACCTTTAAAAATCTTAAAACTGCACGACATTTTTTTATTTTCTAAATACTGCTATTTAAAATTATTTAACTTGCGGGGGGCGGGATTGGGAGGGGGAAAGCCATTTTCAACTGAAAAATCCTTAAAGTTTTCTCCTTTGTGTTTTCTTGTAAATTTTCTCTCGTGTCAAAACAGTTTGAGAGGTAGCAATGGCAGCTAAATCTAGCATTAATTAGCTTTGTTCAGAGATAGTTGTTAATTTAGCTTTTCAAAGATCGCATGCATACAAGCAGTGAAAAACCAGACAATATTTTGAAACATAACGCTCCATTCTAGTCCATGATTTCTAGCAGTTTTCAGCTGTGACAGTTTTTTTTTCACCTTCAGTTTCTATGGTAACAATTTTGATTGTTTTTTTTTGGGCATGGATAAATTCACACCATTGGCCAAACAAGGTTTTTTTTCCAAAACTGTGAAAAATTGACTGTTCAGTTTGTTTTCCGATGGCAGCGGCCGTTTTTTGAACGCATGTTTTATCGAAGAAGGATACAACTAGAGCGTCGGTAACAAATTGTTAGCTTTTTGATTTGGCGCCCAGTATCAGTTTTTGCAGTAGATCACTTAAAATTTAAAGAACATTTGTAACGAAAGTAACCATTACGAGACCAAACTGTGCATTCTGTGCATTGTATGCGGATTCCACAACAGGCCAAAATCAGATTTGTCCCGGAATCCACATCATTGCTACTTTTCTTTGATCATCTTTGCTGTTATGAATTCCACAAACAAATACAAAAAACACTGTTGCGCTCAAAGTGACACCAAAAATAGACGAATTTGCGGAATCCGCAACCGTATTTGCGCAATCCAGAACAGTTTGTGGAGTCCACAAACAAATAATAAGACATGTTTATAGTTAAATTGAGCTGTTGTGGAATCCGCAACTGTAAGCGGAATCCGCAAAGTGTAAGTGGAACATGTTTTAAGACTAGTTTCTGGAATCCAGTAACACACAGACACAAAATTGTGCGCCTATCCAGTGCATAATTTGGCCTGGTAATGACGGAGTATTTGTGACCGGGGTGATTTTTTTTCAGACAAATTTCGACTTTTTTAGCCATTTTTGACGGAGTACTTTTTATCATTCGAAAAATATTGTTGTCTTGAGCTTAAATTTGAAAAGATAGTTCACTTGAGATCGTTTTTTGTAGAGTTATTGTGGTTTAAAAATTGTCATTTTGGCCAATTTGGAACAATTAACGCGCGATAGTTTTCGCGCTATTAACGCGTAAGCGGAGAGTTAATCCGTCTTAGAAATCGTTCCAAACTGGTTGAAAGAAGCTTATTTGCCATAATTGATTTGTTACAAGGAGCGAAAACCATCCTTTTGTATTTTATATGGCGTGTGGAGGGGATGATTTCTATTAAAAAATTCAAATTTTAGAAAAAAAAATTTTCATTTTGTTTTACTAAATTTAACTTTTTAATGTTATCACTGCCCCATAAACCATAAAAGGCAGTCGGAACATTCCGGGCTTTGCCCTAATACCAGCAGTCTTTTTTATTTTTTTAACTCAATATCCTTGATTGTCCCAGTTTTCAAAACAAAATGACAGTCATTTGGGGTTGCCTTTTTCTTATTAAAAAGTTCGACTTTTTGAATAGCCGTTTTTGGCGGATTTTGAAAATATCTGCTGCTCTGATCTCAAACGAATAAAAAACATAACTGTGACTTTTTGAAACTATGCTTAGGAGGAGGGGGGAATTGATAATCATTATTTATCAAACGCGTAATCAACGGTTTAAATGGCTCAAAAATCTTTTCAAAAGGTAATGATGAATTGTATTTTTGCTTCAAATTTTTATTTTAAAATTTTTCTGAAATTTATTTTCATTTTTCGGTTTGACAGATAAAGGATGACAAAGCATAACTTAAATTCGTCGAGAATTTTCAATATTTAGACTTGTAAAAAACATTTGGAGTAACCTTATAGGTCAATTAAAAATAGTTCATCTTGACAAAAAACATGAACTTTAGAAAAAATTAACACATTTAAAAAAAACCACCAATATTTTGTTTATTGTAGGGGATTGATTTTGATAAAGTTTGCAAGGTTTCCGATACGCTTTTGTTGTTCATTAAAAAACATAAAACAACCATTTTAAAAGTTTTAGAGCTAGATGCTCGTGAAGCCTAAATTTTATGCAAAAATGTGCGAAAACAAATTAAAAATTAATTTAGAGCTATTTTATTGTACTATACTTCTGGTAAAGATTTGTCGAGCAGAGTACTGTACTTGCTCTAACTGTTAGTGTTTTAAATAATGATTGCGTTTGTATATACAGAGTATTTTCAAAACGTGTTTTTGCTAAATCCTTTCTCGTTTACGAATAGTTTTTGTTGAAGTCTTTTTAGTAGGCAGGAAAACTCAGCGAATTCTAATGATTTAATTCATCATGAAATGGTTTTTTTTCACAATATTTTTTTGATTTAAGGAAATTTCACCGCTTTTTAAACTTGACAAGCTACTTTAGTGCGGAGTGAAAACAACAGGATAAAATCAACTGTCAGCTAAAATGGAATGTTCTCACCAATTTTTCTCAAATGTGGTTTTACTTTGCTAAAAAATGATCGAGACAAAATGCTTGAAATTTTACTAGCTTTTATATGGTGTGAATTTTAATGCAAAAAAAATCAAACCAAAAATACACTCATAAGACTGGTCAATTAATTTGGTTCAAAAATAAGGAGGTAAACGGGACCAATTGATGTATAAAAAACTACAGTTGAGCCTGTTTACTACCTTACTTTTGAACAAAATTAATTGAACCATTTTAAGTGTGTTATTTTGTTTTAATTTCTTGCTTCGAAATTTACACCATCAAAAAGCAGGCAAAAATCCAAGCATTTTCCTCTATCCTTGTTTGGTCAAATATAACCGAATTTGAGACAAACGAGTTAGAAAACTCGGCATTAGCTCAATTTATCCGATTGTTTTGATTCAGCGCTATAGTAATTTGTTCAGCACAAAAGGAAGTGCATTTTCATTAAATGGCGCGAAAAAAATGCGTGAACAAGAGTGATCGAAATTAATGATTTATATCATCCGAATTCGACAAATTTTCGCTGACTTCTGCAAGATGAATCACTTCATTAACCCAAATATATGTGAAATGAGAGAAGATTTATTAGAAAAAAAAATTTGAAAGCAACCTGTAATCTGCGCATTTTTGGCTGGTTTATACTTCAGCTGCTTGGTTCACACCCGATTCTTTGCTTTTGTACTAAACTCTAACATGTATTGTAGGTTTGCGTAGCAAAGGAAGCATGTCGGATCTGGTCAACGTAATGAACTGATGCTTGATTATTGGTGACAGATCGTTTGACAGGCCAATCTTTTAGCAGAGCAACGTAATGAATTGATGCGTGATTGGTTGACAGACTCCATAAGACGCTCAGTATTGTGTCAAGCGTCCCAAATCAAGACAATTAACTCACGATTTGTCAACAAAACTATTCACTTCAAAAACACAACGGTGTAAATTTGCGGCAAAACAAAGATTTACGTGCACAAAAACACTCGTGCCGAATGGTAGCGCAACAGAGCAAGCAGTCGCTTATCACCAAAGATGCGTTTGAAGTTGGCGTTCTGACTTGCTAAATGTTCTGAGTCTGCTAAAAACTAGTCTTCTAAAACTCCTAGCGCCATATTTATTGCACTCATTATATTTGAAGTATCAGTATACAACTGAGTTAACAGTACAGTGCAAAATACTAATGTCAAATCATTAAATACGCTTGAATAATTCAGATTTTAGTCCATTTTTGATGGCTCTCATTTATCAAGTTTTTTTTTAATTTACCACCCCTCCAATATTTTGAATTTTTTATCTTATTGTCATTTTACCTGTTTTTAACGCTGAATGCGTTGTCTTACAATCAACCCTCGAATTCTATTGAAGTGGCCTTAGAGCTCGGAATATCAATTAGCTCACGCAAAAAAAATGTAGATCCGCTTTGCTTTTTTCTACAGCAAAAACTACAATAATAGATTGAAACAATTTAAAGTTCAATTCTGCCAAATTTGATTTTCGTTTTCTATTTTTGTTTTAGCTTTTCGAGAAGTATGAATTTCCAGTAAGCCTGTAAAAACAATGATTCTCAACCGGAGAGCTTTCACCATGCTAGATTTCTTTTTTTCTTTTCACGACCTATGAGGTTTAACCCCATGAATTAAAAAAAATTTCGAAAAGAAATTTTATTCGGACAAATTGAAACATGTTCAGTTGACAGCATTACCATGCAAGCAAGTTTTCAGATGGGTAACATCACAAGGTGGAAACTCTTTCCTGGTTGTTAGCAAAGAATGAGTGTAATTACATGATCAACAATAAATATCTTTTGTATTGAATTTAAATAGTACAAATTCGTAGTGAGTCTGAATAAATAAGAAGTAGTCGAAGCAGTATGAAATCGAAAATTTTAGCGAAGAGAATTCTTTCATGCTTTTCTTCAGAGCAGATTCTCAGCTTAATGAAGAAAAATGATACGCGAATATACGATGCCAATTTTATTTTATGTATTGCTTTTTTGATGAGAGTCCGCTTTAAAAAAGAAGCATCAATCATGAACAGAAAACGATCAAGTAAAAAATTGTTTGAGCAGAACCAGAACTACTGTGCATATAGAAACACGAACTTTTGAAGCTTTCAGCTCATCACAGACCTCCATGTTCTTAGCTAGCATACAGTCCAGAACCTTCTAGAAGAATCTCGAAGCGATGGGAAGAAGAAGCAGAGTGATCATCGGGCCGAGAGTGGAAGCGTGGGACTGCTTGGCGGCCAGCGCTGCTTCCATCGCCTTGACATAATCGATGTTGCGCTCAGGGTTCTCCATGCCGACCAGGGTAGCATTACCACCATTCAGTGCCTTGAAGTCCTTGTCCTCTACAACCTCAATTTTAGTCACATGGTCTCCCCCCGTGTCCAAGTCGGAGAAGCTGATGTTGCAGCTGACGGGGAACTTATAGTAGTAGAGTCCGTTTTCGATCTTGGTCTCGACAAAAGTCATGACTGTCTTGTTTCCAGCGTCAGGACACAGCTCCTTCGAAGGATCTCGGTCTGGCTGCTTCTTGATTTGCGGCTTCACTTTCTCAAGCAACTCGTTTTGCAACTTTTCCGCCTCTTTTCCTTCTTTTGTATTCTCACTTTCGTAGCCGCCGGCGTCCATGATGCCAAATAGTTTCAGAGACTTCTGGAACTCCAAAACATTTCCGTCGTGCTTGCCAGTTTTCTTGATCTTCAGGTGCTGGTAACCCCTGACTCCACTAGTTCTGCAATAAAAGGACAGAATATGCAGGTCCGGATCCTTTGAACTCTGGAACCATCTCTCAAACATGGCATCGCGTTTATCACACTTATCTCCCGGTAGGTTGGAGCTAAGGTAGGATGAAAGCACGTTTCTAAAGAGAATCGCCATGTCCGGCATCTGCTCAGGGAGAGTGTAATATGGACCCCATTCATTAGGGGGTGTCTTTTTGTCCACGGAGTTCGAGCCATCGGAGTCGGTAGGTGCACAGAACACAGCTGCAGACGCCAGAACGACCAATGCCACGCTAATACGGTTCATTTTTTGACAATCTAAAAAACACTATATTATCATAAAAACAGACTTTATCATGAGAAAAAAAATGATTTACAGACAAAAAATCTACCAGAGCTATTGCTAATAATTTATATGAAACTAAATGTATGAGAAACTACTGTGAACTCTCTCATGTGCAACTTAGATTATGAACAAAAAATGTCCAGTGTAGGCAAAAAAGTCATGAACCAATTGTATTTTTTACCTTTTGATCAATTAGGAAATTCGTCTAAATTCAGACAATACGTATTTGAGATCCAATTACTGTTGCATTTTGAGCGAGTTCTTGATATCAGAAAAAAAACTAGCGTCCGATGCTTCAAACAGATAAATTAACTTGAAATAAATAAAATATATTAAAAAACAACGAAATGAATGCAAACGCAACAAAAGACGAGGGTATCAAACAACACTTTTGATTTCAAAGTTTGAACGATAAAATAATTTCAAAACTACTGGGTTTCAGATCTTCGTACTTTTAACTCATGAACGAAACCCTAAAATGGTCGACAGCATACAACTGCACACTTCATATTAAAAAAACTTGAACAAATTCATTTGCAAAATCATCAAATTCATCAATAGGGTTCACAATCCAGCGTAATTAATTCTAAAATATCACACTCATTTTTCTTCTTAAATATTTTCTTCTTTTAAGTTTGAAGAAAAGTTTTGAAATATCACAAAAAAGCCAAATTCAGAAACTTGAAAGCTGGGCCAGAACATTAGGATGGAAGGCCAGATCTGCATCAGCTGTAGTAACCTGACATCCACATCACCCCATCAAGGGGTCGAAAATTTCAAGTTTTGAAATGTATTTTTATGAAAGTTAAAATTTTTGAAAGTTTTCAAAAAAGACCAAACCGTCAGGCGTTGAGCGGTCATATTTGGAGCCCAGAAAAACACCCTGAGAGTAACTTGAGAGAAAATTTTTAAAAGATAAAAAACGGCATATCTCCGAAACTCGGATGATTTAAGCAATCAAACTATAGTATAGGGCTAGGAATTTCAAATTTTGAAGATTTTTTTTTGAAAAAACGACATATCTCGAAAACCAATTGAGCAGTCACCTTTGGAGGCAAGATTTGAGAAACTCAACAGCAACTGACTACAGCGTTGGGAACTTAAAGTTTAGAGAAATTTTCTAAATTGAATTTTTCTTAAAATGTTTGAAAAAACATAAAAGTCTTATCTCGGAAATTAAAAAGATTTGAGCAATCCAACTTTGAGGCAAGACTTGCAACATCTGAGAGTACTCTGAGTCTACCCCACTATAGGATTGGCAATTTCAAATTTGTGAATTTTTTTAAATCTAGAATTTCTAAAAATTTTCAAAAAAAACGTACAAAAATCGTCTTATCTCAGAAATTAAAAATTTTGAGCAATCAAAATTGGTGATTGGAGGCAAGGCTTACAACGCTTCAAGTACTTGACAGCACCAAACTCCAGGGTTGAGAATTTCAACGTTTGTCAAGTCTTAAAACCTAAATTCATTGAAAATTATTAACAAATTCTTCGAGACAAGATTTGAAACTACAGGGCTGGGATTTTCAAATTATGAAAAAACACAAAACTCGTCGTATCTCGGTAACTAAAAAGATTTGGGTGTTCAAAATTGGAGGCCAAATTCGCAACCCTGGGAAAACCTTGACAGCATCCCACTGCTGGGTTGCCAAAATCAAATTGGTAAAATTAGGACTGAAATCAAACTGGAAAATTGAACAAAAAATTTTAACCATAGCAAAAAACTTGAAAAAGAAAAATTCTTTCGTTAAATTTGCAAACATAATACGTTGAAAAGCTTCAACATTGCGAGATAGTGGAGCCCGCATTTACATATATAAAAGATAGATAGATAATAGAGAGATTGAAAATATAATTCACTCAGCGCCGTGTAGTTTTTTTGAAATAACCTTTGGATTAATTCTGTTTACACCATTGGATTAATTCTTGAATAAAACATTTTGCAAGTGACGGATCGTATGACAAGGAAATGCTTCGGAAACTAACCGACCAACCTTTTTTGGTTTGCATAAACTTAGAAATTGTTTCGCTGCTATCTCAAGTAAAATGCTAGCTTAAGTTATTTTGTCTCAATGGTGAAATATAAGGTGATAAATTAATTCTAAATTTGCATTTGAATATTAGAAAAAAGGAAGCTTACCTTTTCAGATTTGACGATGAAATGCTATAATGTATAAGCTCCTCTGGTTTATGGTAGTAATGGTAAGACAAGCCCAGCCAATTCAGAGTCAACAGAATAGTAGTAGTATTTCTTCACACAAGAAAACGACTAAGGCAACTCAGTTTCCAATGCGAATCCAACTCAAGGAAACAATTTTATCTGAAAAAGAAGCAAATGCGCTGCTGAAGAGAAAATTTTTAAAAATCCATCTTAGTCTCAACGGCGGTGAATTTTTTTTGCTCCGTTCAATTTTTTTTCATCGAGAGGCATGCATTATAAAGCGTGTTGAATCCTCGCGCATTTGCGTCAGAGCTTGAATTTTAATTTGTCAATCGGGGGAAAATGGAGTAATTGCAGCTTTACAGTGTGTGTATGAGGTTGAAAATGGAAGGGAAATAGAAAAATAGTCAGCCACGTTTCCACACGTATAGGTACAAAAAAGGCATTACAAAAAATAAGAGTAAAAGTATGGAAAAGGCATGAAAGAAGGTATAATGAATTATGCATGGAAGGAAACAAGCTGGAATTCTTCTATGCGTGCTGCAATGCCCTAGTGCGCAGCGTCCAAGCAGGTTTTTAAAAACTGTGGGGGCTAATCGCTAATATGGAGACGTAGTCTTAACTTTAAGTCATTAATTTCAAATAGTATCTACTTACATGTTGGACTTTTGTTTGAAAAACGGAAATATTCAGAGCAGTGTTTCCTCAAATTGAGAGAACTTTTTGAAATATCTTTTGAAATCGGAACCAGTTAAAAGGTTTGTCATTAAAAAACCCATTTGACCTCTCCTGTATTTGAATAGCCAAAACACGCATCCTACGCCATAGCTTTTTTCCCGCCTTATGAGAGTGGTCGTACCTAAAATTGAAACAAGACTGCTCGTATCAGGGCGAGGCCCTGAATGTTCCGACTGCCTTTTAAGGTTTATGGAGCAGTAATAAAATTAAAAAATTAAATGAAATTTAAAAAAAATGAAAAAAAAAATTTTCTTAAAATTATTTATGAAAACCATCCCCCCACATGCCATATACAGTACAAGGAATCTAATTCATTCCTTGTAGCAAACCAATTATGACAAATAGGCTTCTTTCAACCAATTTGGAACGATTTCTAAGACGGATTAACTCTCCGCTTACGCGTTAAAAGCGCGAAATATATCGCGCGTTAATTGTCCCAAATTGGCCAAAATGGCAACCTTTAAACCCCCGTAACTTTACGAAAAATAATCACAGGTGAAATATCTTTTCAAATTTGAGCTCAGGACAACAATACCTTTCGAATGATATAAAAAAATTCCGTCAAAAATGGCTAGTTAAAAAGTCGAAATTTGTCTGAAGAAAAAAAAACCCACCCCGAGCACAAATATTCCGTTACTTTCGTACCGAAAGTCGGAACAAAAAATGAACACTCATTTGAAATTTTGGATCTACTTAACAATCCCCCCTCCCCCTATTGTACCTACTAAAGAATCTCACCCTTTCTTGAAAGGGGGGGGGTGAAGATTGTTAAGTAGATCCGACATTTTTATGCTTCTCAGAATTTTGACAATTATACTACAAAAAACTCTAAATTTATGACACAATTTTAACTTTGCATGACACAATATTATCTTTTTATTTTTTATGATAGAATTTAAAAAATTTTTTTTGACACATGACAATTTTAACTTTTTCCAGCTGACTGGCCATAAAATATTTTAGAGGCGTAAATATACACTAATTTTAAGTCAAGAGCGTAATTTTTTTTTGATCAAAGCGTTTCAAAATCGGATTTGGTTGTCCAAACGTGGTTATCAAATTGACTTCTTTTTGGTTGAAGAGAGTTAGTAAAACTCAATCAGTCGATATTAAATGGTTTTCCAAAATTTCGAATATGAATTGAATTGAGGCACGCTCAGTGGCCCGAGTGATGTGAGAGACGAAACGAAATATATCTCTTATTGCTTCTCAAGGCATGCAGGTGTAAGATTTTCAGAAATGAAAAATTCGGAAAATTCTTTTTTTTTAAAGAATTTTTAGACCAAAAAATTTCCTGACACACGAAAAAAGGCATTCGGAACATTTAAGGATGCGCCCTGTTACGATCAATCTTGTTGTTCCGACTTAGCAGAAAGTTACGGAAAATTTGTGCTCTGGTGTTTTTTCTCAGGACAATTTTAAGCTTTTAACTGACAATTTAGGCGGAATTTTTGATACTATTTGAAAGGTATTGATGCCGAAAGCTGAAATCTCTTCATCTGTGAACATTTTTTCTGAAGCTACAGATGATTGAATTTGGGACTAATTTGACTACAATAATTCAAATTTAGGTAATTAAAGCTCGATGTAATAAGTTGGAACAGAAAGAATTATCTAAAAAGCGCTATCTGCCAATTCTGAACAATTTTGGCATGCCAATTTGAGTTCTTACCTTGAGAACTATTTTTTGCCTGTAAAAAGTTTTTGCACGCAAAAACTGACTAAAATAGGTCATTTGCTCTTTTTAAATAACTCTGTGTGTTCAAACTTTTGAAACTCTCTATATAGAGAGTTATAAAAAGTTCGGACAGACAGAATTAATTAAAAAGAGCAATCGCACCATTTTGACAGATTTTTGCATGCAATTTCTTTTTGCATACAACCTTGAGACACAAAATCGGACTGAAAAATTAGAATTTGCAAGCAAAATTTTTCCAAAATAGGTCAATTGCTCTTTTTAATTAATTATATTTAGACAGTTGCAAAAAATTAGAACAGAAAGAATTAATTAAAAAGATGACTTATTTCAGAAAAACTTTTCATGCAAAATTCAACTTTTCAAACAGAAAATATGACTCAAGGTCACCTAAAAATTCATTTTTGCATGCAAAAATTACTCAAAATAGGCAAATTGCTCTTTTCAATTAATTGTCTGTTCCAAATAATTGCTACTAATTATATTATAGTGTTGCAAAATTGGAACATACAGAAACAATCAAAAAGAGCAAATGACCTATTTCACAAAACTTTAGCATGTAAAAGCTAATTTTTCAGACAAAAATTATGACTCAAGGTCACTTAAATGTTCAAAATCACATGCAAAAATTGCTCAAAACTGACAAAATGCCTTTAAAATTTATAACTTTTTGCTACTAATTTTAGAGAGTTGCAAAAATTTGGAACAGACAAGAATTAATTATGAAGAGCAAATGACCAATTTCAGACAAATTTTGCATGCAAAATTAATTTCTCAGTCAAAAGATCTATCGACGAGTCAATTAAAAAAAATCAAGTTTGGCATGCAAAATTCATTCGAAATTGCTCTTTTTAGTTGTTTCTATTTGTTCCAAGTCTTTGCAAATTATTATATACAGTGCTGATTTAAATTATCCGGACGAAACGAACAAAACTTGAATTTTCAAACGCGTTTTTCTCAAATTGGGTTAAGATTAGACAAAAAGTGAAGAGGACAAAAGTTGCATAGAATTTCACCAGAATTAATATGGTGCCATTTTTTCTCCGAAAATCTCAACAAAAAATTTACCCCAAAAATGGGTCATTTTGGCTTTTTTCAATTAATCAAGAATTACGCTGAATTTACTTTGTAAATTGATATGAAAATTATATCACAGGAAACCTCTTACGCAGCTCAACAAAGTTTAAGAAGGATTAAATCTCCAAAAACCAGTATAAATGAAAAATTTTTTACTTGATAGTCAATAAATGTGATTTTTACAATATAAAACCCAGAATCTCTGTTTAAAAATAAATTTTAAACAATTTGCGCAAATTTTTGGAGATTTAACCCTTCTTAAACTTTGTTCAACTGCGTAACAGGCTTCCTGTGATATAATTTTTATATCAATTAACAAAGTAGTTCCAGCGTAATTCTTGATTAATTGAAAAAAGCCAAAATGACCCATTTTTGGGGTAAATTTTTTGTTGAGAATTTCGCAGAATCATATTAATTCTGGTGAAATTCTAAGCAACTTTTGTCCTCTTCATTTTTTGTCTAATCCTAACCCAATTTGAGAAAAACACCTTTGAAAATTCAAGTTTTGTTCGTTTTGTCCGGATAATTTAAATCAGCACTGTTTATACACGGTTTTTATATTAAATTTCTTGTTAAGAAATTTATTGTTTTTATAACATATTTATGATTTTTATGTCTTTAAATTTTCAAAATAATTCTGACCTTGAAAAAGTATAATGGCGTTGAAAAAGCAAACAAATTTTTGCAATTGCACTTGAACAGTCAAAAGAGCAATGAAAAGCGACTGTCCTTTTTCAGAGACGACAGTGTTTTGAATGACTTCAAGCCCACAAATTATTTTCACTGAATTTTTTTAACATGATGATCAAAATCATTTTAGAAAAAATTTATGACGTTGTCCATTACTTTTGTCCATCAAAACTGTCTTTCGTCCCTTATAAAGCGAAAGCGACAAATTAAATCATACCGGACGGAAAATATACCACTAAAAATCTTTTCATGTTGTGTATGGCGGGGGTAAAATTTTACTGATAAGAAAACTGTAAATTTTTTAATTATTATTTCAATTTTTGCGCATTTTTAAGCAATTTTTTAAAGAAAAAAAACAGTTTCACTTACGTTTAAATTCAGTCAAAATGATGAGTGATTGACACTGATATGAGTACTCTTGCTTAATTTATGCTAGTTTAGCTTTTATGCAAAACACTTTTTCGGAAATCTGAGTATGCGTTGAGTAAAACAAAAAAAATGATCACAATCATATTCTAGAATGTCAAAACCTACTCGGCTGTGCTTTGATTCGTTGAACCAAGACTTTGCCGTATTTGAGGCGAACTAATTTTGAAATAATTCGTTTTCTAGAAACGCCTTGGGAGCTAACGAAACGTTACCGGCAAACCTATAAACAATAACGAAACACGTATTATAGTTTGACGTACCTGAAGGAAGTCAGTCAAGTAACCTCAAACTGCTCATTTTGACGTCTTATACTAAAACTTCACTCAATTAAGCAAATGAAAAACCGTGTCAAAAATCTAATTAACCTGAAAGATCAACGATATTGACAATAATTTGGGATTAACTATACAAGAATTCCGGTTCAATTAAAGGCTAAGTTTAGAGTGTAGTGTCTGTCTTTTAATATGTCTGATGTAATTTTGGCATAACAAAATAAAACATAAAAAAACCAAACAAAATAAATTGGTTAAGTTTTCATTTTTT